GATCGCCTAAACGGTTTTTACCCCTTTTGTGCAAAACGGTCCGTTACAATTGGTGGCAAGCGGCGGGATCGTTCCCACGGACTACAGGACAGCTACAGGAGACACCATTCCGTGGATTTACAATTTGAGGGCAACGCGTGTCCCAGTACAGCGACCCTGACAGCAACAGCATGGAACCAGCAGTGGCGTACAGCTACTCAAGGAGAGAGTTTGACAATATGATGGGATTGCGGCTGAAGTACTACGGACCCAATCCACCGGAGAAATCGGTGCAGCTTATAAGGAATCTAGTGTTCAAGAATCTGCAACACCGGGCAGAAAGAGAAGGTCAGCTGGCACGTTGGGAAGAACTCCAGCGACAGGTACTGCAGGGAATTGGGAGCACAGTCTCCATTCCCCAGCGGCAGAGTGAATTGCAGGGAATTGGGAGCACAGTCTCCATTCCCCAGCGGCAGAGTGAATTGCAGGGAATTGGGAGCCCGAGCTCCATTCCCCAGCGGGAGATATTGCAGGGAATTGGGAGCCCAGTCTCCATTCCCCAGCGGGAGAGTGAATTGCAGGGAATTGGGAGCCCAGTCTCCATTCCCCAGCGGGAGAAATTGCAGGGAATTGGGAGCCCGAGCTCCATTCCCCAGCGGGAGATATTGCAGGGAATTGGGAGCCCAGTCTCCATTCCCCAGCGGGAGAAATTGCAGGGAATTGGGAGTCCGAGCTCCATTCCCCAGCGGGAGATATTGCAGGGAATTGGGAGCCTGAGCTCCATTCCCCAGCGGCAGGCTGAGTTACAGGGGACAGAGATAGTTGCCCCTGTCCCCCAGCAGCAGAATGAATTGCAGGGAATTGGGAGCCCAGTCTCCATTCCCCAGCGGGAGATATTGCAGGGAATTGGGAGCCCGAGCTCCATTCCCCAGCGGGAGATATTGCAGGGAATTGGGATTCCCCAGCGGCAGGCTGAGTTACAGGGGACAGAGATAGTTGCTCCTGTCCCCCAGCAGCAGAATGAATTGCAGGGAATTGGGAGCCCAGTCTCCATTCCCCAGCGGCAGTGTGATACGCAGGGAATAGGGAGCCCAGTCTCCCATTCCCAGCGGCAGAGTGTCCTACCGGGAATAGAGAGCCCAGTCTCCTTTCCCCAGCAGCAGGACACTGTATTGGGAGCGGAGACAGTCGGTCTCCCTCCACAGAGGATGAAAGTAGGTATGGGAGAGGAGCTTGCTACCACCTCTCCCCAGCGGCAGATCATTAATGGGCAGGGAATAGAGAGCTCAGTCTCCTTTCCCCAGCGGCAGAGTGTTATATTGGGAGAGGAGCCTGTTACCCCCTCTCCCCAGCGACAGGGCTGTCTAGCCAAAGGGGAGACAGTCGGTCTCCCCCTCCAGCAGCAGAGATGGGTAACCAAAGGGGAGACGGTCGGTCCCCAGCAGCAGGACTGTGCATCTAAAGGGGAGACAGTCGGTCTCCAGCAGCAGCAGCAGAGCGGTGTATTTAAAGGGGAGACAGTCAGTCTCCAGCAGCAGCAGCAGAGCGGTGTATTTAAAGGGGAGACAGTCGGTCTCCCCCTCCAACAACCAGGCTTCCACCAGGCTACCCTCCCAGTAGCGCTGGCAACAGGGCAGAGTGCCGCTGGTCTCTGCCCACGCAGCAACCCACCAAGTCAGCGTACCCGTACCCAGCACAGCCGTGGTGAGGCACCTGGACATGGACAAGCTTCCCCTTTACCCAGGTGTAGTAACCATTTATTGTGGGTGGGCTGTGCTGTTGATTATTTGTTGTGGGTGGGCTGCTGGACTAACAAGGGCACTGACCGGCAGGAGGTCAGATACCCTGTTAGTCTGTTTGGAAAAGGGGAGAGATGTGACGAGACCAATCTCGCCACATTGCATTGGAGAAGCCTGGTTGCTCGCCTGCTGCCTTTGGACTATGGCCCCCTTTAAAAGACTTTTTTTACCTGCAGAAAAGCTTCAGTCGTGCTTTTCTGCCTGAGTTTCAGTAGATTTGTTTGAATGTGTTATACCCCAGATGGGAATCCCATGGAGCCCATTCGTATGAAACTGACTGTAAAGACTTTGGCTCCATGGTGATTAAACTGTATTTGTGTGGTCCGAGCGCCATTCACTTAATAATGTGCGCTCAGACCTGAGCTATCTGGGGATATGTGAAATGTCTGTGTTTTATGTATAAATGTGACTTTATGTATTTTAAAGTGCTTTGTGTCTTTTTGCAACCATGTGCTTAATGGAGTCTTGTGTCTATCCTGGGAGATAATTGAATTACTTATCTCCAGGATAGAAGACTCTGAAACTGGTTTGGGCCAGAAAGCCATGCTTCATTTAGTCACAAAGGACTTTTTACTAACTTTTGAACCCCTTGTCTGATTTGTGCCATTTTTGAATATGTTGTTCCCCTGAATGGATTGATTGAGAATATGTAATTTTATGTGAATGTGATGTATGGTTTTGAGTTATGAAAGTTGGGTAGAAAGTATGTTTTAACTGTTTGTATAATTGAGTTTCCTCTCAGGATAAGGGGAGGGAATATGTGGGATGTAACTGTGATATGATTGGTTGTTTTATCCCTCCCTGTGGGTGGTCCTGTATTTGAAACACTGTAATAAAAACCAGGCTGGGTGTGCCAGCACCTCAGACCACTGCTTGACCCTCAACACGGAGCCTTGTCTCGTTCTTGGGGGGATTCACTGTATGCTGTTAGAGACTGATTGCCAGGAGTGTAAGCTGTTCGTCTGCTTTTCCTGTTCGTCTGCTAGCAGCTATTTGGGAGGTTCCAGTTCGGGAGTTGGAGTGCTATTTTGTATCAAGTTCGTGAGTTTTGGTGTTCTGCAGTAGCTGTGCCTGTATCTCTGGAAAGGGGGCCGATCGCCTAAACGGTTTTTACCCCTTGTGTGCAAAACGGTCCGTTACAGTTAGTGTATAGTGTGTGTAAATTTTTGTGAATAGTGTGTGTAAATGTTAGTGTATAGTGTGTGTAAATGTGTGGGGCTGCAAAATGTGGCGGGAAAAGCCTACAGTTTTTTTTTCCATCCATTAATTGTATTGGTTTATTCCCCCCTCCCTGTATCTCACCTGTGGCCACGGGGGGGAGATCACATTGGATGGAGCCCTGGAGCCGGAGGTCCTGAGGAATGGTGCAGTCCCCGCTACCTGTATTCTGCAGGGGGCACAGCACACTTGAAATATACTGCCCAGATGCTCTGCTCTGTAGAAGTCTCGTGAGCCGTGCAGAGCATTGCCATGGCAACGCTCTGACGATCGCGTCGCTCGTGAGATTCGACAGAGCAGAGCATCTGGGCAGTATATTTCAAGTGTGCTGGGCCCCCTGCAGATTACAGGTAGCGGGGGGCCTGCAGTGCACACATATATAGCGTTAATCGCTATATATGTGTGCACATAGCTAAAGTGGGCAGTGGCGTACACACAACCCATGGGGTGCCGGTGCGAAAACTGACCCGTGGGCCCCCCCCGCGCTTACTCTGCGCGGGCTGGGGCCGCAACACATGGCGGCGGGCACCTGGGTATGTACGCCAGTGCATGCAGATACACTTAAAGGACCACTCCAGACACCCAGATCACATCAGCTCAATGAAGTGGTCTGGGTGCCAGGTCCCTCTAGTTTTAACCCTGCAGTGAGAAGACGCTGAACGTCCATAGGAAAGCATTGAGTAATGCTTTCCTATGGGCAGTTTGAATGCGTGTGCGGCTCTTGCCACGCATGCGCATTCGGAGCTGAGAGGCGGATCAGGGCGGAGAGATCCCCAGCGCCAAGGGAGTCTGACAGTTGAGAAAGGTAAGGGCTTAAGACACACACACACTCTCACGAACAGATGCATACACACTAGCTAACAGACACACACATTTACTGACAGACACACACTCAGTGACAGACATACACACACTCACTCACTCACAAAACACACACTCACTAACAAATGCACACTCACTAACACACTCAGTAACAGACACACACAGTAACACACTCACTGACACACTCTAACACACACACACACTAACACACACACACACATTATCTAACACACACACAATCTCTAACACACACACTAACACACACACACTAACACACACACACTAACACACACACAAACACTCTAACACTAACACACACACATTCTAACACACACACACACACTAACACACACTCTAACACTAACACACACACACTCTAACACTAACACACACACACACACTAACACACACACACACTCTAACACACACTCTAACACTAACACACTAACACACACACACTAACACACACTCTAACACACACTAACACACACACACACTAACACACACACTCTAACACACACACTAACACACACACTAACACACACACACTCTAACACACACCCATACTCTAACACACATACACACTTTTTAAAAAATTTCATGCCCCCAGCCTCCCTACCTTTGGGAGTGCTGAGGGGATTCCCTGGGGTCCAGTGGTGTCACCCGGCGGCCGGTCCTGCGGGCGGGCTGGAGCGCACGCGAGGGAGCACTCTCCCTGGCTGAGCACTTCCTGTTCGCCCGCCGGGTGACACCAGGGCCAGCCTCGGGGGGCCCTGAGGTTGACCGGCTGCTGGGCCCCCCAGGAGAAGAGGCTGGCCACAGTGGGTACATACCGGGTCACAGGGCCCCAGGACTGCCGGGCCCATGACAACCATTATGGTTGTCATGCCCTGATGGAGGCCCTGATTGCTTCCTAGAAAACAGACGCATTCAAATAAATTAATTGTGAAATATTCCCAGAGTCTGTGTACAGGTGCATGTAATCAATTAAGCTAGCCTTTTAAATGCAGCTCTTGGCTGGAATATATAAAAGTCAGTTTAATATGACTTCTAAAAAATCCCATGATTCCAAACCTACTACGAGAAAGGAAAAAAAAGAATAATAATACACAAGATAAAACACTCTCCACGTATTTTTCCCCACAACAAATAAGAGAATCGCAAAAGACTTCTAAACTCTCTATGGATGATACAACCGCAAGTCTAGAGAGTCTGGAGCTAGATGCTAGAAAAATCATAACTGATAAAGAACTTATTACAACAGCCCAATTACAATCAAGTTTGAGAGCTAATTTGGAAGAAATAAAAATGGAATTGGCCGTTACGGCAGATGAGATCAAAGTGGAAATCAAGAAGGGAATAAATTTACTTGTGGGGAAGTTACAGAAGTTTGAAGATCAAGTGAATGAAATGGACTTTCGTGTAAAAAATCTAAAAGATGAGTGTGGTAAATCACAACGTAGTATGTTAGATCTTGAACTTAAACTTAATGATTTAGAAGACCGTAGCAGACTTAAAAATCTTCGTTTTAGAAATTTTGTGGAGGGGAGAAGACAAGAAGATATAAAACAAATCTTGAAAGACTATTTTGTGGACCTTGGAATTCCATTAAATGACCATGATCAATTAACATTGCCACAGCCTATACAAACCTCAAACAATCCCGACAGATATCCCAAGAGATATAATTGTATGCTTCTATTCTTATGATTTCAAGGAATTAGTCCTAAAAACCCAAGGGAAAAACAGCCTAATCCGGGCCGTTTCCATAATATAGTATATTAGAGAGAAAATAGTGTAAATAATCCCAATAATGGATCCACTCACATAGTACAGAGCCACTTGAGGACCGGCTCTGATTTCTTCCACTTATGTGTACTTAAAGGTGACACACACCTATAGCATCCGTGTCAAATGTAGACCTCAAACAGAAAGAAGGTAAAAACTTCTCTGGTGCAGAATTCCCAAACAAAGTGTATATGAATAGAACAAAATAAGGCTTCTCACCTTGTCCAGAGCCTTGAACTGGGCTCTGAGTTAGAATAGTAGATGTGACAGTATAGGGTGTCACTGCCCTTCTTTATAGCAGCATGGACAATTCTTCAAGTTTAAAAGATTTAACAAGTATTTATTATAAATAAAAATATATATAAAATAACAAACAAAATATATAGTCTAATTGTCCGAGACGCGTTTCGCTGATCCTCAGCTTTGACGGATGACGCAGCCTCAACCCCTCCCATTCAGGAAATAAAAAAGAAGACCGGCGGCATGGACAGCACCGATTGAGAGATGATATGTGTATAAATCCACTTGATTATTTTTTTTTATTTTTTTCTTGGCTTCAAGTCCAAATCTATTTCCAGCTAACCTTTGATGGTTGTTATAAATTTATAGATATGTTTGCTGCCAACCGAAATAATATGTAAAATTAGATGGCCATACACGATAAATAGCGATATATGACACAATAACTTTACTGACTACTACTTTGTAAATAGATAAACATCCTTCAGATATAATTCACGCATTAAGGTGTTTAAAACTTTTGATAATTACCTTCTAAGGTTAAAGTAAGGTACAGAGGGTGAAAAGACAAAAGAGAAAGGGGGAAAGGAAGGGAAGGGAGAGGGAAATAAAGAGAAAGTAAAAGGGAAAAAAGGATAGAAAATCAATTAAGAAGGATTTATTTTTTATTATTATTATTTTCATTATTCACTATTTCACTAAAGCACAATCTATTAAAACTTTTTTGGTTCTAAATGATCCAATTGTAAACAACGAAAAAAGGATATGTTTGGTAAGATAATACTCATACTTGATAGGTGAATTACTTTGGATAATAATTATAAAAAATACAGATAATATATATATATATATATATATATATATATATATCATAATTGGTTATACTTGATGGATCAGTACTATCATTGTATTTGTGAACAATAGATCGGTGTCTTTATACACAATTTATTCACAAAGGTGTCACAATAGTTGATAAGCACTTCTACACTAACTAAAAAGAAAAAAAGTTAATAATAAATGAGTATTTGTTTGGGTCTCTTACTATGTAGTTTAAATTTTACTATCAAATCTATTTCGGTTTATATTGGAAGACTGTTAAAAAAATTTCAGATCTCTATGATCTTAATGTACATTATATGTAAAATCCTATTCCTTCACGGCTTAATATCTATATTTGTCAGCTCAACATTCTGAAACTTTTTAGATCTATGAAAATGTATACATCATAATTAGTTATACTTGATGGGTCATTACTATGATTGTATTTGTGAACAATAGATAGGCGTCCTTATACACAATTTATTCACAAAGGTGTCACAATAGCTGATAAGCATTTTTTCACCAGCTAAAAAGAAAGAAAGTTAATATATAAATGAGTATTTGTTTGGATCCTTTATCATGTGGTTTAAATTTTACTATCAAATCTATTTCGGTTTATATTGGAAGACTGTCAAAATCTTTTTAGATCTCTACAATCTTAATGTACATTATATGTAAAATTCTATTCCTTCATTGCTCAACATCTATATTTGTCAGCTCAACATTCTGAATCTTTTTAGATCTATATGATCATAATGTAGATTATATGTAAAATTTTATTTTGTCACGGTTTAACATCTATATTTGACAGCTCAACATTTTGGATAGAAATCATGAACAATAGATAAATGTGTTTTTTGTTTTTTTTCTCCCCCACTCTCTTTTTTGTGCTTATATAAAGATATAATTGATAATTGCTAAAATATTTGGATATAAGATAAAAATAGGGGGTCAAATTTATGAATGTTTCTAGTTTGGTTTTTTTATATTATGGATTTAACCTCTAAGGGACTGTGCTGCACCTTTAGTCCGAATTTTTTAGTATGCGATTAACCTCCAAGGGATTGTGCTGTACCTCCTCCCCTTGGTGGCCGCACCTCTTTGTGTAGTTTTACTACATTGTTTTCGTATAGCTCAATGAGCTTTTACAGATTTAATAGAACTTTGTTTTTGGGTAATTGTTTATTCTATGTATGTATGAGACCACTTTTTGGTCCCACACTCGGGGGTGTTTATTGTATAGTTTTTTTGTCAGAGCAGGAGAAGTTCAAATACAATTGTTATATTATTCTTATGTTAAAGTTCCTATCCTTAAATGTACAAGGTTTAAATACCAATGGCAAAAGAAACAGGCTGTATAATTCGTTAATGGAACAAAAAATCCAAGTGGCCTTTATACAGGAAACCCACTGGCTTCGCGAATTTCAACAAAAATAGGGAGGTTCTAACTTTACAACGATTATTCAGGCCTCTTTAGTAGATAAAAGAAAAAGAGGGGTAGCAATCATCTTTAAGAACGATTTAAAACTCAAAATCATCCACTTAGAACGAGATAGCGATGCCCGTTATATTATTTTGGTGTGTAAAATAGACAACAGGATATATGCCTTGGTTAATGTATACCTCCCTAACATAGACCCCATGGCTACATTCTCACGTATAATGGACAAAGTATCCAAAATTATTAATGGATCATTAATAATTGCGGGTGATTTTAATTGTGTTGCCGATGTTAAACTTGACAAAACATATATTTCTCCCAATCCTCGAGACAAAAGAGCTCTCAAACAAGCCAAAAAGTTACAACATATCTCCAAATTATATAATCTCTATGATGTTTGGAGAATATTTCATCCATTAGAGAGAGACTACTCTCATTTGTCTAGCGCTCATAATACCTATTCCCGGATAGATTATTGTTTAACCAATGCTAGTTCGATGAATATCAGATGAATATAAACAAATTAAGGCTCACTAATTATTATACCGTAATAGGGCTAATAAAAATCTCACAAAGAGATTGCAAAATCACTATGCAAAAATAGGGTGGACCATCTGGCAGATGGACAAAATATCTACTCCACCCCAGAGCAAATTGGAAAAAAATTCAACAAATTTTATGAGGAATTATACAACTTGAAGTTGAATCCTAAAACTACCAACATTAGAGACTACTTATCTAACATTCTGATTTCTAAATTGACTGATCAAGACTTGATAATGTTAAATAAAAAAGTCTCTGTAGAAGAAGTCCAATTTCAAATAGATAAATTACCCACAAATAAAACACCGGGCCCTGACGGCTTCACAAATTTATATTATAAGTATATGACGCTTCATCTGATAAAACCACTAACGTATTTGCTTAATGAGATGGCGAAAACAAATCTATCCCTAAAGAACTTCTTCAATCTAATCTTATTCCTATATTAAAACAAAATAAGGATAGCTCAAATCTAATTATAGACCTATAGCATTGATCAATGTAGATATAAAGCTCTATTCTGCAATAATTGCTGAGAGAATTAAAAAAAATATAGCTAAAATAATTAATCCCGATCAAATTGGGTTTATCCCAGGAAGATTGGCCTCAAACAATGTTAGAAGACTACTAGACGTATTGAATAGGGCCCATAGACAAAAGATGCCCCTCCTGGCCCTGTCTCTGGATGCGGAGAAATCATTTGACAGGGTCGGGTAGGGTTATTTAGCAGAATTCTTGATGGCTTTTGGCTTTAAGGGCTGGATACGCAATGCAATTTTTGCTTTGTATTCTACCCCTTCCGCCAGAACAGTCGGACCTAATATATCTGCAGGATGGTTTGACCTTCGGAATTTTACGAATTTTTCTCCATTACTATATATTTTATCACTTGAGCACCTTGCCATGTATATTAGAAAGAATCCTTTTATTAAGGGTGTACCGATAAAAGATAGAGATCTAAAGATTTCTCTATATGCTGATGATGCATTCATTACTCTTTCCTCTCCAGAAGATTATCTAGCCCACTTAATGCAGGAGATTGATAAATATTCCAAGGTTTCACATTTCAAGATAAATATTGTGAAATCGAAGGCCCTGCATATGAATATAGACAAACCAACTATAGAGAGGTTATCCCATATATATAATTTTATTTGGACTAAAAACGAATTAAATTACTTAGGTTTAATTATCCCTGCAGATGTTAATACTACAATGGAGAGGAACATATTAGTTCTAATGAAAAATACAAACTTAAAATAAAAAAAATTGAAACATTTTGAAACCTTTTGGTTGGGTAAAATAAATATTATTAATTCATATATACTGCCAAAGTGGTCGTATCTTTTCTCTATGATTCCGCTCAAAATTTCAAAATCATGGCTGATAATGATACAAACAAGTTCATTTGGAAAAATAAAACTCCCAAAATTAGTCAAAAAATCTTATCAAAAAAACTATCTAAGGGAGGCTTAAATTTCCCAAATATTATCTATAATTACTATGCCAATATGATTAGACATATACACCTATTACAAGATCCCTTGTTGGCCCAAGAACCATGGTTTATTATAGAGTCCGAAGGCTCCCATATCTCGAATTTACAATATCTTATGTGGACTCCCGGTAGGAACAAAATAAATATGTTTCAAATTAATTCTACTCTTTTAGCACAATCTTTAGAAGTCTGGGAGGAAATTAAAAAAACTTTAGGCGGGGGCGTGTCCTGGACGCCGGCAAAAGCGGTCGCATGTAGCAGGAGCTCCGAGCTGCTACGGCCTAACCACAAAAGCACAGCAGTGACAAGCTACAGGGACACGGCAGACTACAAGATGTCCCAACCCAAACAGCGTCGCCAGACAGAGAGGGGCGATAAAAC